TCGATACAATCGGAAGACATAACTCTGCTACGTCTCCTGATTTTCTGGAGAGAATGTCTGAATTTGGTGGAGTAACTTATTGCCTCCTTCTTAATACCCCCAAGCCTTGCCTTCTTCTCATCCTCAGAGCTCTCTACGTCAGATTTCTCAACACCTGCATAACTCAGTTTGTCATTTCAGCAAGTAATTGGTGTGCCATGATTGATTCTCTTCGCTACGTTTGTATAAAAGACTCACACGTTCGACCATGTCGATCGGCAGTTAAAGACGAAACGTCCGCCATGAATCACAGCAACAGCCTTGCAGTCTCGTTCAACACCTGGTTAAAAAAAAGGGTTAGCCCCGGATTTTCGTTACTGTAAAGATGAACATCAAACACGTATTAAACCTACAAAAAATATCAAAAACAAAATATATTATCTTTACCAGCATGTGCAAGAAGAAGAGAGTTGAAGGGATGATAACAGAGGAAGGGTGGGGAGCAAAATAAATCTCTTTGAATAGATATTTGTCTATAGAAAAAAATTGTCATTGATTTGACGTTTTTCAGAGTTAAATTGGCAGATTTAGTTCGTTTCTGAAAATTTTTAAACTAGAGTTTCTTTTTAACGTTTACTAACCTTGACAAAGTTCTAAAAAAGAAAACCCAACAAATTTCTTTTTGAGTTTCTGTTAAAAATGTGTGAGAGAGAGAGAGAGAAAGTTTGGAGATTTGCATTGGACTCCATTGAAAAACATTTTTCATTTGTTTTTGTATCTTCTAACTAACTTGTCAACTGAATCCAACCTTCTTTCCCGACATATTTTGCTGGCTACTTAATTCTCCCTCTATTTAAGGATAAATTATAAATTTAATCACTCCACTTTCTTAACACTCATATTTTACTCATTAAAGTTTAATTTTTTAATTTACTCACCAGACTTTCAATGTCTCCTATTTTGATCAATCGGTCATTCCATACTTAAAGTCGTTTTGACTAAACAATTGTTCTAAAAACTATATAAACTGTCCCCAAAAGTTTTCCATTTTTGTGAAAAAACCCTAGTTTTGAATTCTCGATAGTGAAGCATCTTCTTCCAAGTTTTAACAGTGAGAGTTGGAGAATGAGAAAACGAGTTGTATATCTTGATTTCGCGTTAACCGACTGGTTGATGTTATAAATTAGATTGGTTTGAGAATTTATGAGTTTTAAAGTTGTTTAGGTAAAATCTAAACTGATAAAATGATAGGAGACAATGAGTCGAGTTTATCGATATCTTTAGTGTTAGAAAAGACATCGAAGAATGATAATTATTTCATGTATGAAGTTGTAAAACTTTCTTTTTTAGAGAAAGAAAATAAAATAAAAAAATGACATGGATGACACATGAATTTTACATCAATACATATGGTTACCATGTCACCCTTTCCTTTATGATTTAACACTTGAGTGATCAAAATATGAGTAAATCAAAAGTTTTATGAGTAAACTAAAAAATTAAAATTTTATTACTCAAAATAAGAACAAATAAAAAATTTAAACACTAGTAACCGAAATAGGAGTAGAAAGACAGTTAAATGATAAAATTTATAATTTATCAACTCTTAATAATATTTAGTGTTTAAATCATAGATCAATTAATTCTGATAAAATATTACGAAAGTAGTATTTTAGAAAACGACTCTCCCAACTTATAATTTTAAACACGTTTCACTAATTTAAAAACATTTGTTTTTGCTATAAATATGAATTATCCTCAAAAGTAAGAGAATTTAAAATTATATATACTTTTCAAATTTTCAATAAAAACAATATCGATAAAAAATATAAGTTAAATTAAATATTTACAAATTGATTTTCTCTTATTTATTTTTTAGGGTATACAGTGAAAGCAAACAACCAAACCCTAGGGTTATAAAAGGCTCTCATCCTTCGTCCCCAATTCGTCTTTCACTACCCTATTTCCCTAGCACTTTCAGCATATACAATGGTATGTTTATCTCCTTAGATTTCTCATCTCTTTTGTGCCGAAAAACACAGAATCAAATACATTTTAGATTGATTGCTAACTTCGTTTTGGATTGGTTTTGCAGGCCCCAAAGAAAGACGAAGCCCCTCCTTCCTCCATTCCAGCAATTAATTTCTGGAGCTGGCATGCTGAAGAATAAGTCATCTTTTAAATCATACGTTTCATTCACTTTTTTTGTGTGCTTTTTGGAGTTAGATAAAAAATAGGTTGTTATTTATTTGTATTTCATTTACCTTATCTTTTAAATCATACGTTTCATTCACGTTTGATCATTGTTTTGCTTTTGTGTTGGATTGTTTTGTTGGATGCCTAAGATCTAAGATATGTTATGTCAAACATAAATATTTTCATGCAAAGTACATGTTTTTTATTATGTTCTCTTGCTATTTGCTAAGAGTGAGATGCTAGCTCTAAGTTACGTTGTTCTCACTCTTTTAATTTTCTTTTTGGAGTATTTGTATCTAACACGTGTCGGGACATGCATATACGAATATGGTCTTTTAAATACTCTCGAAATAAATGGAAATTTAGAAGAAAATAAAATCAAAATATTCGTATCCGACACTCTCATTCGAGTCCGGGTAGCTTAGAATCAAGATGCATGTGTGAACTCTATGAAAATTGTATTGTGCTTATTAAATTTGGTTTTGCATAAACCTCACAGATCAATGGATCGCTTTCAAGGAAGGCTATGAAGGAATTGATGGTGAAGGAGTTGAAGAGGTTGGTATCTGTTTATTCTAACAAGCTGAAATACAGGGACCAACACCTAGAGTCTTGAAATAATTAATGCATGCAACAATGAGCATAGTTATGTCTTTTTCTTTAAATTTAATTGTTTTCTTAATTATTGTTTAAAGTTTAAATCGATGTTTAAACACGTGTCCTTTCAATAAATTTTTCGGATGACCAATAAAGAAGCTCACGAGTAGAATCATCAAACGATTTCAGTATGTAGTTGAAGGGTGTGTTGTTCTATTTAAAGGTTATGATTTTGAGCAGTTGTGTCTGTAGGGTATATGTGTATTATCAATGACTAAAGAAATATTCTAAACAAATATTACATCATAGTAACTTTAGACTATTTTTTAAAAAAGAGTTAGTATTAAACACAGTCATATTGAAAATCAAATTACATATCTTTAAAGAGAAAAAAATCTGGAACGTGACCGTTTTATTGTCTGGTGAGGATTTGAAGAGAGCTGGGTGCCTCCATGATTTTGAGGCTTCATTCTTGATAGAGATGGTAGAGAACTGTTGGTTCACAAACAATTATTCAAGCGCAATTTACATATACATCCATCAAAACCATTAATATTTTCCCAGATAAAATATAGAGAGACTAAATTATTTAACTTAAAAGATTAAATTAACGATACTCGAGTCGAATAATAAAAAAATTAACGTTCTTTAAAGATTAAAAAAACTAATCTCATGTAAATAGAGTTGTAAACGGGTTAAGTCGAGTTTGAGTATCGTTGAACTTGACCCTATTCAAAAAGCTTAAAGTTGAGGTTGGTTCGGAAGCTCGTGAGCTTAAAATTATCAAGCTTGATTCGAACTCAAAATCAAAATTTAAAGCTTAACTCGAGCTTGAAAAAACTTGACCTCAAAATATTATTAACTTAACTCGGTCCTAAACCTTAAACACACAGAAACTTGCATTTTTAAAATAACATATAAATGTTAATATATTAATAATTTAATTTAAAAAATTAAAGTTTTAATATATTATATTTTTCAAGTCCTCGTCAGATTTTTCGAGTACCAAGTAGTTCATTGAATCGTTAAAAATTTAAATCGAGCTCAAATCAAAACTATTTGAATTAAGTATTAATCAAACTTTAATCAAATGAAACTCGAATATTACAATATATCTCGTCCCATTCACAACCAGTGGTAGATCCAGATGTATTTTAGGTTGGGCAGATGTCCACCCTAAAATCATAATTTTCTTCGATTAGTTGTTTATTTTATTGATAGTGCTCACCCTTAAATTTTATTAGTATTCACCCATTAAAATATTTTTAGATCCGGTAAGACCAATCAAAAGACACAGAATTCATCATCTTAAAGTCTTATCCAATTAGAAAAGCAGCTGCTTCTGTTGACCGATCTACAGATATATAAGGAACAAGAGCTAAAATAATAATAATAATTCAATCCATAATTGAATGAGAGAGACATGCAGAAGTAGGGTTTGAGGTACTCAATCAGAAGTCTTTTGAAACACCGTTGACAGAAGCCATCCGAACTCTAATTCTAATGATCTGAAAACGAATCAAACCACACTGTTCTTTGCTTTCTTACTCTTCTTGTCATTTAATTACTTCATATTCCAACATGAGAAGACAGGTTAAATTTGCATGCTGTTCCATTGGGTGATCAAATCTTCCAATATGAATATATTTTATCAACTTCTGTTGTTTTCTGGTTAAGATTATAACTTCTTCACTTGCAATCTTTTTTTTGGAGTTAATTAACTTGATTTGCTTGTCTGAAAACAACAGCTCCTGAAGATGTGGTTTTAATGGCTCAACTCTACCCCACTGCTTATCAGTTAATTCAGATTTTTAAAACCCCATTAGTTTATCGTTAAATGTCAATTCAGATTTGACATAGAACATATTAAAAATACATTGATCAAGTTTTAAACATGTGTGCATATGTTGCATTCATATATCGGTGGATTGATTTGATTGAAACGATATTATACTTTAATAGCTTAATTAGATTATTTTGAAGTTTAGAGAAATCTGGGTTATAATAATATTAAAAATGCTGGCAAATTGAAAGAGAAAGCAAGTATAGAATAGGCTAAGCTCGTTATGACATTAAAAATAGATAGTCTTCATTACAATGGATGAAGAATTACAATTCATGAAGATAATAGAAGAATTAGCTAAGTTCAAACTGCAAGACAAAGCAAAGGGAAAGAAATTCCCTAAGACCATAACGCAAACGGTACCTTTCTTCTCTATCACCGGGCATCACGTCGGCCTGTAATTCGGGATCGGGACGCGACCGGACTCGATACGGGTAAGATCCTCAATAAGGATTTCGTAGTGTCTCTCAACTTCTTCGACAGTCTTCCCACCAACAGCCTTAGCAACATTTTGCCATCGATCCGGTGTGTCTTTATCATACTGTGCCAACGCCTTCTCAAACAGCTTGTTCTGCTTTGGTGTCCATGAGCCCGAACCATTGGAACGTAAAGAACTCGAATCCATCGCTGATATCACCGGAAAGAAAAAATCAAAGCGTAGATGGTTTGTAGTTGAGTAGTGGGTGGTGCTTGAGATTGCCATGAAATGGTCCATTTATATAAGCAGTGGGGTAGCGTTGAGCCATTAAAACCACATCGGCAGGAGCTGCTGTTTTAAGACAAGCAAATCATGTTAATTAACTCCAAAAAGGACATAGAACTAAGTTTTTTTCTTTTAAGTGAAGAAGTTATAATCTTAACCAGAAAACAACAGCAATTGATAAAATAGATTCGGATTGGAAGATTTGATCACCCAATGGAACAGCATGCAAATTTAACATGTCTTGTCATGTTGGAATATAACAAGAAGAGTAAGTGAGCAAAGAACAGTGTGGCACTGTGGCTTGATTCGTTTTCAGATAATTGGAACTAGAGCTCTGATGGTTTCTGTCAACAGTGTTTCAAAAGGCTTCTCAAACCCTACTTCTGCATGCTTCTCTCATCCAATTATATGGATTGAATTATTATTATTATTATTATTTTAACTCTTGTTGCTTATATATCTGTACATCGGTCAACAGGACCTTCTGCTTTTCTAATTGGGTAAGACTCTAAGAGGATGAATTCTGTGTCTGTTGATGGGTCTGTATAATTAAAATTGATGGGTCCATTGCGGCTTTATTGATGATAAATTATGAATTGAAACAACATTGTAGTTTCCTAGGGGTTATGTTTGGGACGACTGCTGCAGCACCTGACATTTCCCCGCAAGGAGGCCTTAAAACTGTGGAGGCGGTGGGCTTCTTTGTGTCCGTAGGATAATAGTTTGAAAGAAAGGGCGGAAGATTTACACAAAAATAAAATTAAAGGTTCCACCGAGATTTGAACTCGGGTTACTGGATTCAGAGTCCAATGTCCTAACCACTAGACCATGGAACCCTTTGCTTCAAACGTATTTAATAAATATATTTTAATTAATTATTGATAGTATGAGGAGTAAATTTTATACAACTCATTTTTAGTGTCTATACTAAAAATATATGCTAAAATTATGATTTCGTTGGTTAAATAATCTGCTCGAATTTTTTTCTTAGAGAAATGTAGACGTTAAAAAATTAATTTAAGATTATTTCAGTTTATATGAAACTCGTCGTGTGGACAAAACATATTCTATAAAACTTTTGTATAGTCTACATGACGAATTTTGTTTGTTTAATATATTTATCATATAGGTATCACGAATTTCACGTATATTATATTATAATAAATGATTTAGATATCAAAATAATTTTCAATACCTGCACCATTTTTAAAATAATTCCACCCACCATATTTTCAAATTTTATTGCTAAAATTATAAATATGTAAATACGTTATATATATATAAGATCATAAAAAAATACTACTTTACAAATATGAGATGACTATCCAGCTCAGTTAGTAGAGCACAAGGTTCTTAACCTTGAGGTGTGAGATCGAGTCCCACAGAGGGCATTTCATAATTCAGAGGTCTTCTACGGAAGTTACTCTCAACCTGATGTTGGGGCAGCCTACTATCTTACCTCCCCTTACCCCATTACATATGGGAACAAGAGACAACCATTTATTTTTATATACAAATATATTATAAATTATACATGTAAAAATTATATTCATGAATAAAATAGAAATAAAAATGGGTATAATAGGTAAAAAAACCTCTGAAGTCTAATTTCAATAATGAGCAGAAATTAAATGTCGAAAATGAGTAATTGAAAATAATAAATGCGAAAAAGAGCAATTGAAAACAATAAATAATGTCGTTCACCCGTTTTTGTCCGGGTTTATAAAAATATTTTATTATATTATTATTTATTATTATTATTATTATTATTTATTTTATTATTTTTATATGCCCCACACTCAACAATCCCGATTTAGTGAGATTCAGAAAACAAATCAACGTATTTGAATTCTATTGAAATACTAAAAACTGAGACATTTGAGTCTAAGTGTGACTCTAAAACGTCTCTAAAATAACCAATCAGTAGGCTATTTAAAGGCAAGCAAGGGGGAAGGTGACACAAATATTGGAACAAGCTATTGATTTGGGCAAAAATGGTTCTTTTTTTTTTTTTTAACCTTCGGCCCATTATCGTTTTTTCACTTATACTTATTCCTCTACTCTATTTCGCTTGGTCCGGAAAGGCTTCCAAATCCTTAGAGCACTCGAAGGAATAAAAGTTTTCCGACCAAGTTCAACTCGCAACGCTACAGCTCGGTTCGCTCCACAATCCAACACTGCACCATCGTCGTTCCGTGTCTCATCAAGGGTTTCTCTCTCCAACTGCATTTTCAGGTGTCCATTGAAGCGTGTTTATGCTTGAATCGATGTTGTCGTATCACTCTGTCACTGCTTCGGCTTTGATGACTTCGATGCTCAATGTTTCTCGCAACAGCGTTGTTTGGTTCTCTGAAGGGTTGACTTTATTGTTATAAAATCATTCATCATAATATGTGTAAAAAGTTATTTTTTTTTTTAATTTTAGCATTTTTTAGTATTATTTATTTTATGTTTTTTACTTTTTATTATTTTTATTTTATTTTATTACTTTTAGAATTTAACATTTTTTATATTTTTATTTTTATTTAATATTATATATATATATATATATTTTATTTATTTAATTTTTTCTTATTTCTTTTTAGTATATTTTCAATCGATTAAAGATAATTAGTTTGAATTGAATTTTTAAATTTCGATTTAAATTTTAATTTTCGCAATTAAAACAATAGACGAATTAATTAATACCTAAAGGACAGTACAAGAATACTAATCCTTCCTTAACTATAACGACTCCCGAACCCGACACATTTCTGGTAAAACAGATCAGGTAAGATGGTGTTTGATCCACCTAAATATTTTTAAAATGATCAGTGATGACTCTAACCCATTATTTCAAGTCAAAGCCCAATTCGGATCCAACCGAAAAACGACAGCGACAACTTTTCCATTCATTTATCCCACTCCATAGACTATATGTTTGAACTCATAAACAAGTTCAATTTTCAACAGCCAAAAATTGAGACACCAAAAATGTCTGATAAAACCATGGCTCTGCTGTATATATATGCTATAAAACTACATGTGCAAGCTGTGTTGGTGTATCCTCGGTTCAATCACAAAAAAATAATAATGGAATGGCAAGAATTATCCCAAAAATAATCTAACTAATTCCGAGGCGACAGACGGGATTTCGTTTGATGAGACTAAGATCGACCTGCAATAACAACCGCGCTTGATAGGTAAATTCCATCGTAAAACAACCACTACATGGAAAGAATAAAATGTGTTGGCATATGTATTAGTACCTTGTGTCCGAACAGATCCCTAATGTTGTCGATTCCATAGAGTATCATAGTCGGTCTATGTCGATGCAAACAGAAAAGTGATATCAAGACATAGTTCAAGTTTTGCTTGGGAAAATGTCGAAAGGATACCTTCACCGGGAAAAGACTAATATTACCTTTCAAGCGAAAGACCCCAAGCAATAACACGGACATCCTCAGGGATTCCCATTGGAAGCAACATTTCAGGTCTGAACATGCCAGAATTTCCAATTTCAACCAATTTCTTCAAGCCTTCATGATAACTGATAAAAACAAAAATGATCTATCAAATCTATGTTTACCGAACAAGTAATAAACATGTTCGGAGAAGCATGTGATTTATAACCTGAATATCTCCATGCTAGGTTCAGTATATGGGCTAGAAGCAGGCTTGAAACGCAACTTCGACATTCCTGAAAGAGATCATAGAGAAAGTATCACCATCACTGCCATTCCTAAGACAGTTATTGTAGCAGATAAACCAACTGTTTGATGATAAAGTATAAACCTTGTCCAGAAACACCACAGGCTTCGATATATTGAAGCATAAAAAAACCACACACTTGGTCCTATTTATTCAACAATGCTGCAAGGAAACCCTATTTTATGTTGAATGATTATTTATGATCATTACCTAGTCGCGAGAAAAAATCATTCAGGACACCGATCAAATCACCAAGGGTAAGCCCCCGATCACATACTAAACCTAAAGCAAAAGAGATAATTTCCATATGTTCAGTAAATCATTAGATGCGTTCCAAATAAAAACATTAATCACATATTAGTGCAATAGACATTGGTCCCAGCACGGATCCAGTTAAACGTAATAAGAAGTTGGACTTGAATAAATGAAACTAATGCAGATGCACACGGCTTATAAATACCTTCAATCTGGTGGAACTCTGCAAGATAAGTTCGGTCCACAGATTCGTTACTGAACACACGTTCGATAGAGAAATATCTTTTGGGAGCAAAAGGTTGCTAAAGATGAAATCATAGAGCAAATGAGCATTAAAACTCATAGGTACTAGTAACAATGATGCAACCAACAGCAGCAACAACTACTAACTATTAAGACAACATTAAAGTATACATGCACTAGCATTGAACAGTATACACAAGTTTAAAAATCCAAATTAAAAGTTCATGAGGAAAAAAGCTAAGAAAGTAAGGGCTTCTGAATTTAGGAAAGTCAGCCAGCTGAAGGTGGTTACTAATCACAGAGATGGATGAAGATAATGAAAACAATCAAACCTTCTATCTAGGTTGGGAATTTCGGTGGCATTACCACCTTTATCACCTTTCGTAGTCCACTGTCTCGTAGTCCACTGTCACCGCTCGCCGTCCACCGTCTGCCACCGCCATCCACCGACCGCCGCTGCCGTCCGCAGCCGCACTCCGATCTCCGTTCAACGCCATTTTTCTCAGGGAAGTTCTTCTGCTTCTGGAGATTCCAAATCTGAGCTTAGATTTGCGATAAATTCTTTCAATCGGCGCAGATCTTAACTTTGTTCACTGTCAATTTTCGCTGTTAAATGCCGTCCGAGTTTGACAACGTCTCACCACCAAGCTCGACGTCTTTGGCGATCAAAAGCCCTTTATCATAGAGTCGATTTCGCTGCTGCTTATTGGAGTTCATATTGAACTGTTCCAACATTACAAGAAGCA